TGCATTCTGGACGAGCTGAAGTCTCCAAATGCTCTTCAAGGGCTGCCCCATGTAGAGGGCTTATTTTCAGGGGAGGCTTATTTTCAGTATTAAAGATATTAATTGTCCATCTTCCCTTTTAAAAATGCCAGGGCTAACAGATGAGATGTGAAGCAATTTCCTTGATTCTCTTGAGCTTAGCTGCTTGGTCCTTTCTATATGTTCTGCCTTGGGGACTGGAAGAAAAGGTAGGATATAAATCCCACAAATAAATCAATATTACTCAGCTGCATGCCTTCACAACTGCTTAGAAGTATCTTACAATACAAATAGCTCTCCCTTTAGGGCTTCATTTGCCTGCTGAGCAAATCAGAAATACTTTATTTTCAGTTTGAAATCCATGGTATAATAGCATTTGATAATAACTTGCAGTGATCCATGAAATTGGAGTATTATTAGCACTGGTGGGGAAAGGAATATATATACACAAAGTATTTGCAATCTCTGTTAAAATTTCTGAAATGCGGCATGGGAATAAAAGTTTCCTAGCGTGAATCCAAGAAGCAACATCATGGCTATTTCCCCAGAAGCTGCTTCTGAAAGCCGAAGGAACGGACCAATTTGCTATTGAGCTGAGCAACAGAATTGTTTAGCCAATAGAATTGAATCATTGCTTCTTGAAAGCCTGAATGCAAAGAGGCAATGCCATTTTTGGACCAACTGTTGTTGAACAAACTCATTGTGGGTTTTCCAAGAGTGTTTATAAGAAAGGGGAGGGGAAATGTAATGTACCTGTCATGTTATATGGAATGATATAGAATCCTATCACTCACTGGGTCTTATCCAGTGAACAGTGATATAAGTTGCACAGAGGATCTTTTTCAAAGCTTCTTGTTAAGAATACACAAGCCAATTGTAGTTAAGAAAATCCCAATTTACTGTATTTAATTGTTGGAAGAAATATCCTTCTCGCTTCAGTTCCAAGTAGGGAGAAAGACACTGGAAATATGGAAGCTGCNATGAATTCTAGTTTTTGAGTTTTCTATCAACATGACGATTGCTGAGAATTTTGGAAACTAAAATCTTATGTTCTTGAAGATACCTAAGTTAAGGAAGGCTGGCATATGAACTGGCATGCTTACGAGTAATAAAATATTGTAAAAACAATTTGCACTCTTAGGTATTATGGAGCGGTCAGAGTTTCAAAGCCCAGTGAAGAGTTTCTGTACGAGGAAACTCATTAATAGATCCAGCTACCACGGGGAATTTCACATTTAAGGACTGTGTGCTCTGCCTATCTCTTACAAATTCCCAATAACTGTCACCAGGAAGTGATTGTCCATATTTTATTAGGTTCAAATTCCTGATCTGAAACTAGCAATAAAGATTTTGGAAACCTTGTGTATTGATCATCGAGGTGCCCTTATGCAGGAGACTGAAATGGAAGGCTCTAGTTATGGTCCAGACTTGAAAAACAAAAGTGAATGTTGTGCAAAGACACAATATTATTAATGAGAAAAATGTTGGAGCATAACTCAGTTTGTTGTAACAGCTGCCATACAGGTGCGTAGCATAAAAATGCCATAGTATAAAGTGAAATAAAAATGAAAAGTCATGTCCAAATGCAAGGTGTGAATAATGTTTCTTTATATGGGTTTTACTGTATATTCTGACCTATGTGTTTCTGCTTGATCTTTCAGGAATTATACTATGTTCAGGAAAGATATCCTTTGAGGAGGACACCTTTTGGAGAGACCCAGCCGCAGCTATTCCAAGGTCCAGGAGTGCGAGGCAGGTCCTCTCTTTGGGCCGAAGGAAGAGAGCCATCTCAGCAGCTGGCTTCACATCCCTCTGCTTTGATTTGAGCTGAGTTTAGGTGATATCCAGCCGTTGCCACTCTCATGAGCAGAATGGAGTCTAAAGAAAGCACCCGGAGTGGAAACAAGACTGATACCAAGAGTGCTAGCTCAGCAAAGTCTGAGAAACCTCATTCTGGGCCTGCGGCAAGCACTGATAAGAAAGAAGCACCCAAGGAGCAGCCAACTCCTGCTGCCACCACCCCTGCAAAAAAGGGGGCCACAGCACCCAGCGAGGCAGCCATGCTGAATGACCACAGCAACCTGAAGCCTACTGCAGTGCCAGCAGCCGAGGGGCCTGAGGCGACTGCCAACTCCGAGCATAAAGAGAGCAGTGCAGAAGAGTCGCCAGGGAGCACCGTGTTTGAGAACATCAAGCCCCTGCTCATCTTTGGAGGGGCTGCAGTAGCTGCCATAGCTGTGATCATAGGAGTAGCCATCCTAGCTCGGAAAAAATAGGAAACCTAAGGAATGCAGGGAACAGAATTTCCCCTAGGTTGTGTACTGTTCCTTTTGACATCAGTGCATGCAATCACTTCTATACATACTTATAAATATGCAGTATATAGCAAGAGAGAGATAGGTAGGTCTTGCTTAAGGTTAGTATGCCAGGGTCCTGGAAAAAAAAACCCCTCCCAGATTTGTTTTTCCTGGTCAATAGATGCTATTTTGTATTTTCTTTCCATAACTTCTCTCCATCCCACTTTTTGGTCAGCTGTAAACTTGGTTCCAGCGTCATTTTCAGAATCCTTTGCTTTTAGTTGGGCCATGGAAGAGCAGATGAAATGAACACTTTCTCTTCAGGAGGACCCATGTAGTATCCTGTATCCAGCTCACTGAAATATTTTCAAAGATGCATAAAAAGGCAGCATCTTCACTAATCTGAAGACCATGTGGTTCCATCCACCTATTTTGGTTCATTGTCAGAGCATCAAAGTATAATCTCAACCTAAATTACAAAGTTCTCTTCGGAATAGAAGCTATCAGAGTTCAAGAAGCAAACTTAGCCTACTGAGATTACTAACTAAAGCCCAGAAGGCAACATTTTGGCTCACCATCTATCACACAATGTCTACAAAGCATGGTACTAAATATAGTTTAGCCATTGATTGGAATAGCTTTGGAATCTAGTAAAGTAGTCTTTCTCTGCCATTTAAATGCATGTTAAATGCAACTCTATGAATTGGCTATGAATTGGCCAAGTACCCTTTGTAGAATTTAGATACCTTTAAAAAAGCTTTTTTTTAAAAAAAAATCAGATATTTAAATCTATGTGATTTAAACTTTTGGGAAGTTGAAAAGCTCATTTGTGCGTATGGATTTTGAACAAATGCTGAAGCTTCTCCATATAAAGTTACATACCAATTTGTGCTATGAAGGGGAATCAAGAAAAACAACAAACACCAAAAGCATAAGAGTGTATCTTTTATTTCATCAGGAATATGAATATAAGAAAATCTGCATATAGAATAACTGCCCAAATGCAAGAATTTGAACCCAATGGATGATCTTCATTTCAACATTTTATAGCTTTAATTCAAGATACACCAGGAGAATAATTTCCTCATGTATTTCATTGGAAATTAGGCAATGAAATAACAAAGACTGATTCACAGGAGCCATTTCCCCCCATAACATTTGAACTGTGATGCTGAAGATTAGAGGAAATTTCCTGTTTTTAAATAGCCTTGTTATGTTAGTGGTCTTCTTGAAATGATTAAAAACAGATGTGTGTGGGGGGAGGGAGGAAACAGTTATTTGATACAGATACTAAAAATATTTCCCTGACAGAAAGAATCTGGACACCGGAGCATTGGTTATAATGTAAGATGACTGAATGACCATCTCTTATTTAGTAGATTTTTTTCCCCCTGCATGGACCATGCCAGTGTGAAACGTGTGCATGTGTATTAATACAACACACCTATACCAATTAGATCAGATTTAGTAAAAAATCGATGTTTGGTGTGTGTGTGTGTGATGTGTGTGTATCATGTTTTCATCTTATCATGTTCCGAAACTAGCCTATACACTAGATTTCTTTGTATTTTTAGTCCCAATCACTTTAAAGTCACAAATATAAATTCAGAAGTATAGTAAAATCATGATAGTAGTGCCTAGGCCAGTGTTTCTCAACCTTGGTGATTTTAAGATGTGTGAACCTCAACATGGCTGGCTGAGGGGAGGGGAATTCTGGGAGTTGAAGTCCATACATCTCAAGAGTTGCCAAAATTGAGAAATACTGACCTAAGCTACAATTAATCATCTCTCTCTTGCATTTATGGCTGTGATCTTATAGGTTAGGTCTATAAGGGAATCATTCACTGGCAGTCATTGTTTAATATCGTGATATCCCATTGTTCTGAATAATATTTCAGAACCTACTCCCCATCTGAAAATCTGTATTCTTGTGTATATGTGTACAAGCTTTCCTAACCCTGCCTTATTTGAGAATATGTGTATATACATTATAATTTTTGTAAAGCTACAAAACCTGTATTCTTTGTAGAAAAGCAGAATGCAACCATTTATCTGCACACCTGCATTCACACGAAGTGTCTGTGTTTGTGCCACTTGCATTCCATTGTACAGTAGCCAAAACCAAATTTTCCTTTCAATAAACAAAGACACATTTAGCTAATTGATGAATGTATAATAATCCGTCTTGTGCTTGTAAGGAACCCCTCTGATTGATGGACTGCTGCGTCTACAAAAGAACTTTCTCTGCTTGCCTCTAATACATGTTCCCAAACTATTCTGGAACAATTGATAACAGTCTGGAGCAGGGAAGGGTGAGGAAGGAAGAATCTATTCTGCCCAAAGAATGGCATCAACAGATATTCCTAAATATAATTTGATGGTGGATCTGTATGATAATATGTGCAAGCTTATTTCTCTCTTGAGATTTGGTGTATCATCTTTGCCCCTGCCCCAAATTGATCCTTAGGGAAACGATAGTGATGCAAAACAGGGCTAATTTGCTGCATGTGATCTTATATACTCCACAAATACATCTCCAGTCTATTTCACTGCAATAATAAACACAGCAAATGCTTCCTCATTCTTGCTTTGAACAGTGGACATCTGGAAAATGTGTTCATTTATGTAGGCCAAGCTCAGTGAACTTGTGCTTTATGGAAATGGGCAATTTGCAGTAGAAAGGTTAGTTATGTCTCACTTTGGTAAGCAATGTCATGTAAGCTTTTGAATGTGGTGTCACAAACATTTGCGTTTGTTTCTTTTAAAGGTGAACAAATCAGCATGAACTGCATCCTGATTTGTGCAACCCTTCATATGTCTTGTCTCCTTACTTAGTGGCATTTGGCTGCTTATTGGCACCAGGGAAATTGCTGCTAAGTTTAACATTGGCATATCTAATATTGTCTATACTTCGTATAGTACAACAATCCCATGTAAGCATTTCTCTAGTTCCAAGGCTGTTGATACTCTTCTATTATCATTAGTGATAGAGTAACAAAACACTTCCTTCAGAAGGCTAGCCATCTTCAACTGGGACCCTTGTATGTCTTGAGTGAAGTCAGGATGATTTCTATTGGTTTTTTTATGGATCTCCCCCCCACTCTCAAATTTCAATTTTTGCCATACTGCTATGGGCAAAATTGTATTGTTTCTCTTTATTGTTGCAGATCAGCTGGATTATTATACAACTCATCAACTAACTGGTTTCTTACTTGGTATTTTTACTCTTTCCCTACCCCTCCAAGTTTACATACCAGCCCTCCTCCATTGTTTAGATTGAGAATGAATGTACTCGAGGCAATTCTTTGAGCTTTATGGACAAGAAAAGTTTATAACTTTGGCTCTCAAGATTCAACATTGTTTTTAAATACAGTGCAATCCTCAGAAAGTACATTCTAGAGTAAATTGTATTGACTTTTAAGTTCTTTTTACAAAATAAGTGAGTGCAGCTTTTTCTGTGGGTAGGTAGGAAAGGGTCAGCTAATATTAAATGTCTGCTCCAACTGGGCACTTCCAATATCAAATGGCATATATGAGTATAAATGCAGCTGGAGCTAATGTTAAGACACAGAGGATGTGAAAAATAATTGGACACACTCCTTCTTAGTTATGACAGAGACGTTTGTTGCTAATATTGGAACTGTCATCCTTGCCCCCGTCTTTAATTTTAATGAAATGAAATTGGGGAAACTGATCTTGAGACAGTGTCTGAACACTGAGAAGACGTGATAGCTTCAGCAAATTCATTAGCAAACTGCTGTAATAGCAAAATGACATCATTGTATAAGTGGTGCATTAATGTGATGATATCACAATACCTGATACAATTAGCTAAGTCACAGCCTTTGTATTTATATGATGATGTAATGATACATCTGTCATTCTCTCTCCACCCAATCTGCCCTGTGGATGCCCATGTATAACCTGCTAACAGAGGAATACACATTTCATGTAAGTCTATCATGTCTTATAAAAAAAAAATCCACATTCAGTAGGCCAAACTTCTTAAACGTGCTTATTTGGTGGGAAGTAGTTTTCATTCTGCATATAAATTTGGAAAGACAGTTCCCTCACATTCCTTCTTTGTTGCTGTACAGCCTCTTAGTACAAAATACTGAGCCGAGGTGGTGCAGTGGTTAGAGTGCAGTATTGCAGGCTACTTCAGCTGACTGCTAGCTGCAATTCGGCAGTTCAAATCTTTCCAGGCTTAAGGTTGACTCAGCCTTCCATCCTTTCAAGGTGGGTAAAATGAGGAGCCAAATTATTGGGTGCAATATGTTAACTCTGTAAACTGCTTAGAAAGGGCTGTAAAGCACTATGAAGTGGCATATAAGTGCTATTAAAAGATAATAGCAATCTCAATCTGGCCATAAACTTGTATCATTAGAGTCAGGGAGACCAGCCCTTTATCAGCCTTGTACAGGACATTCAAGAGAGTTGCTTTATTAAACATACTGGAACTTATGCATGAACTGGGTATTCAAGGTGACACAGCTATAATTGCAGCGATGCTTCAACTGTATCAGTAATTCATTCTTGCTGATACTTGAATTCATTGTGTAAGGTTTTTCCCAACATATTTGCTTTTTTAACCTGAAAGAAACACTCAGATTTCACTATTCAGTACTAAAAATGAGTTAGGGGAGGCTACTCTATATTCTTGGCTGGTTTTAAGCATTGCCCCTGTACATTTCACAGAAATGGATCGTGTTTCTCTCTTTAAGTGACTAAAGTGTGAAAAAAGAAGGAGAGAAAACTAGTAAAAGGATAAGAAACTCCTCCTCACCCCAAAAAGCCAGTTTTGTTGTATAGTAAGATCTGGATGGTGGTTTTAGATGAGTGAAGACAATAAAATGTAATGATAAGAACTAGCATCTAAAAATAAAGTTTAGACAAATGTATGTACAAGTGAGCAAATGTTAAGACTATACTTTTATCCAAAGTCTTGGCTCTGTCTAGCTTCCATTCTTTTTATATCACTCCTTTGCCCCCCCCCCACCATCTATTAAGATGCCGACTTGACCACCTCCACAATACAAAACCCCCCACACTCTGCCAAGCAGTCTTCATTTTAGTCTGACGCCAACACCATTTTAAATTATGACTGAATTGTAGTCTAGGATGAATGGGGGGGGGGGAGTATCAGCTGATGTAATTACTTAATATTTCTTCTGTTTCTTAATATAAATGTGGCCCAAAGCATCTGGGAAATGAAAGATAGTTCTGTTAGAATTTTCTGTTTCAATCTCAAAGCCATGCCTTGATTAGAAGCTGGCAGCTACAGTTCCATCATTATATCTCATTGTGCAGAATTGATGAGCGCTACGTAATGCAATTAAAATTGTCTAATCGGTTGCTAATTTTTCAACCATAGAAGCTTCAACCAGTTTCCCAAGCTACCAAAAATGCAAGGAGTGTACCCCTTTTGTGATATACCCGTGTCCTTCTTCGTAAATGTATTTGAGATGATCTCCCACCCCCTCATATTTCTTATGTCTTTTCCTATATTTATGGTTAAGGGAAGGCCCAAAGTAATCCTTGTAGATGGAAAATGCTAGTTGATTCAATCTGAATGTTTGCTATCTGCGTCTAGATTCATTTAAACAAAACAACAAAATCATACAAAATGTATTCCACAGCAAAAATTGTTTCTTAAAATGATGTAACATTACTAAAGAGTCTCCCCATTAATTTGAGAGGCCTATAACATTGCTTATTTCCCTTACTCAACAGGCACACTTAACATGAACAACTTGAGATTCTTCATAGGTCCTGGGCTATAACCCACCCAGTTCCGAGATATAGTCCAGCACAATTGGAAAGAACAAAGTTGGTAAATGCTAACTTAACATATGTTGGACTATACATAACAGAGATTAAGGTGTTTCCTTTCTTTCATTTTGAAGTCAACTGTTGCAGACTATCTTTTGTCAAAGCAAATGTGAAATAACACCACTTTAAGTTAGAAAATAAATCTGAACCTTTTGAAATCTCCTGATATTGCCTATGCTTCTATGGACACTTTGTATGAGCTTCAGCTCAGCTCCTTAAAATGGCAAATAATTTTTCCTTTCCCATATAGTATTCTTTTATTTGAATTTTAAAATGCGTATAAATGCAATAATGCAGGTAGAGTAGAACTATTAGACTGAAAATTAAAGTAGTTTAGCTTGTCCCATTTGTGACCTACAGTGTTGTATGACACCCAACACTGTATCCTAGCATTCTCAAGGCTTTCCTACGTAGCTGAATCTAGTCTTAGCTTTGAAAATTCATTGTGTGAATGGTGGGGTGGGTTGACTGGGAACGTGTATGCTTTACGCACCGTATGTTATTTGCATCAGAAGCTACATAGTCACTCCATTTTCTATGGAACTGTAAATGATTCCCAATATACCTGTAACTATTATCAGGATTGTGTGAAATAAACTATATATATCTATATAGATATACATGTATATTGTATAATTCCTACAGTTATCTTCATGTTTTATTTTCAGTATAACCCTTTAAAAAAAAAAAAGAAAACTGTAATACATAGCTTCCTGAACACAAACCAAGAATGATTGATTAATTAGGGCAGTAACAGCAATCCTGGTGACATAGTGGTGAAGACGCCTCCCATTTGGAAGGTTGAGAGTTCAATCCTAGGTATCAGCAGATGTTCCTCTACTAGGGCATAAAGAAAAAAATACCTGCTGTGAACTCCACAGGGCATCAGGAAGTAAATGTTCAGCTCCATTCAGTCACCCCAACTCTTTCCTGAATTAAGGGATTACAGGATCATAAAAAGAAGCAATCCTGTTACTCAAAACATTATAAATTAGCCAAATGCATAATCAAAACTGATATTTGTTTATAATTTTTATTTAAATCTAACAGCAAACAGACCCTTAAGACGGGGAATTCAAGAAACAAAAGTACAATTCTGTAATATGAATATTGCTCCAATTTAGGCTTGCATTACCTATACTTTTTATTTTTCCTTGATACCATTTCAGGAAATAACACAAGGATAGTAAAGAATAGTAGAAGTAGCTGAAGGGCCTGGGAATTATAGAGAACCATATTTAGAACAATGCTACTGGCAATACATTTCCAATTATTATTTTTTCCTATTATGATTCAGGAACAGAGGAAATTTAAGTCATTTTAAGGCATTATGTTGAGACTATGTTGTAGTTAGGAAAATACCTATGAGATAATTTCAGCTATATGGCAACTTTTGTAAACTCTGTACCTCTATTTCTAGCTAGAAGGTAAATTCTTCTTTACAAAATTGGTTAGCTTGAGAATAGGAAGCCTTCATCCTAATCATCATCACTGATTTGTTGGTGGCTCACTGTGGAACAAATGATTCCAAGTGCAGGTCCCCTGTTATGTATAAGAACCAAATTTTCGGTGTTCTTGAATGTTCTCATAATGCTTAGAAAGATTCTTGTGGTATCACGTCCTGTTACTGAAAAACTGGTCTTTTATAACAACCATGAAAGTGATATGGACTAAAGTACTGTAAACGGGATGAGCTCAAAATCAAACATGTTTGGAATGAAACTTCATGGAGATTAGGAGGAAGTGAATATTTGTTATTTTTCTCCATGGCAAACCAGATTTTGGTGCAAATCCTAGAGATGGTCATAAATGAGAAATCTGGGGTGAGGGGAGAACTAGAACTATATGTTCAGCTTTTGTTCTGTGTTACGTTAGGTTAGTAAACTATAATATCATTTCTTTTTTACTTCCTTTAACGTATGAATCCATTCTAAGAAATAATGAATCTGGAAGTATACAAAGACAGGAAAGTGTAGACTATGCTAAAGCTTATTGTGAGTCCTTGTTCATAGTCAATCTAGATAGCAATTGTGAGTCAACAGCTGAGTAACAAGCATTAATTTCTACATCTCAATTATGCCAATGGAATATTGGTGTAGTCCTTCTCTGAAATCATCTACATGTACTGTACCTCAGTTTTTGAAGTTTCAAGATAATTCCGGTCTTCTAAAATATTTCAGGATGACAGTTCTAGGCCATGAGAAATATGGTATTGGAAAATCAGACCCAAAGAAGAACGAAATTAGAATTGGAGTTTGCCTTCTTAATTGGAGGCAAATTAAGACAAATAATCTTGCATAAAAGCCATGACATTATTACACAGCTATACAACTTAAGGTCTTTTTCACAAGTGTTACTCTGTCTTTTTCTTTGACTAAATAGTGAGTTACTTTAAATTACATCCGTCTATGACAAATGCTGAATTAATTTGTAGTGCTTGAAAGAGATACTTCTGTTTTACAGTAACTATATGAACAAGGTTTTGAGCGTGCATAATACATTGAAATTATGACCTAAAAAGGGAAAGTAAGTAGTAGAAACAATATAATAATTAACTATATATATGAATGATACAAATACGTAAAAAAGACTTAAAATGTAAAATAGGTCCATTATGTAATTTTTTATTTCTTTACAATTTACTACAATTATTATCAAATAAAAAAAATATTTTATAGCCAATATCTATATCAGACATGTATATCAGGCTTTTATAGCAAGATAATGACTTATCATCTGAAGCAGGGCTGTCAAACTCACCTTGTCATGGTGACGTCACGTGACATATTGGGACTTTTCTCCCCCTTGGTTAAACCAGCACATGACGCGTCCGGCCCATGGGCCGG